GGCATGATTCATTTCAACAAATACACGAGAAAATCTTATTGATTTCAATCAATCGACATAATTGACGTCGAACTTAAATCAAGTGATCAGTCCATTAAAAAACGTTGAATTCTTTTGGGGTCCGGTGTCAGGCGACACCCGACTTGGACTGAGAACAGCTGCCCTCCTGTGGTGATAAAATGGAATTGCAAAAAGTAATTTTTTTGGACCTGTTTCAAAGAAATCAAGGTCAGAAACGGTTTGTTCAATTTTATTTTTGTAATGCTACAGCATTTGTACTAACAATCTGCATTTGTGACTCTAAATGAAGGACATATGGCCCTTAAAGGTTATTCTCGAACAGTAATGCTCAAAGTGTGCTACGTGCACTCCTTCTAGTGGTGCGTGGAGACATTACTGAATTAAATATTCAAATTACACAACGTCACATTAGTGGAAACTTTTTTTTAATCCGGTGCAATTCATTTGGATCAACCTTCTTAGTAGTCTACAACACGATTGCATTTAATCTTTTGAAGCTGGTTGTTTAAAAAAATGGGGTTTCGGATTTTTTTTTTCATTTTATCTTATGTTCATTAGGCCACATGAATATTTAAGTACGCTTTTGATTTGCCTGCATTTAAGATCAGGTTTACATCAATAATGAGAAAACATTTTGAGAATGAAAACCTCTTTCTCGTTTTGGATGAAAACTTCAAACCACAGCCCTACTGCATTTTAATGTTGGCCATGATGGCAGTACAGGAGGGATAACGTATTCGATTTTTTTTTCCACGTAAAACCTGGTATAAAATCTTTAAGAAGCACCGTCCTTGAACAATTCGGTCATGCTCATGAGAAGAAAAAAAAACAATCCGAGTTGTCCCATCAGTTTTCTGTGTTTATGCTGCCATCTGTTGGTCAAGATGGGGCAAAACACCCTAACATTTGTTGCATTTGTAACGTATCATCATTGAAGTCACTAAAACGTGACGAACAGTTAGCTATCACAGATTGATTAGATATTCCGTTTTTCATATTCATCCTCGTCGACTGTTTCCGCCAGAGTTAGCAAACCGGCTCCACGAGGTCCATTTCAGTTCGGCGACTATTCGCCCAACAAATTGAATTGAAAGAGCTGACGCGCAATGCTTACAACGACCAATACGTCACCGAGAGACATTTGTCAAGTTGATGCGGTGGAACGTGCGATGAGGTGACGCATGAATGAACACGTGATAAAAATGTGACGGCTTCCTTCGTTCAACTCGCTCGAATCGGCCGTCGCGGTTGTGTGCTCAGCACTAATGTGGGCACTCACGCTAATGCTCGCCGCTTAAACACTGGCGCAAATTCACCCCCGTTGCTACTTGAAGCAGATGGCGAAAGTAGCACGTCACTGCGTTTGTGGCACCTGCGCGACAACCTGCGACCACCCCACATAAAACGCGACACCCACTCGACCTAAACAAACATCCAGTGGTAAAACATTCAATTCAGAACTTCGATCACTTGTGCCCCCGCATCACAGTACATTTGGGAATCGCATTTTGGAGATTGGATATGAGATGGAAAAGCCCTTCTCATATTTGCGAATCAAATGTATACACAAATGAAAATATCGTTCTCGATGTAACCTGTTTTTCATAAGTTTAAAGTCTTGCGCTGTTTTAATTTGCTACATTTTGCTTGATTAAAATGTAAATTTGCCTCGACAATTGAGAACAAATATTTAAAAATCACGGTAATTATTAAAGTTACAAAAAAAGGTGTGTTCTGTGGTTTGCGGCAGAGTTGACATTTTGAATTCCTAGATAAATATACATCTGGTTATTCTAAATATGATGATGAATGATAGGTTTCAAAAGAACTAGTCTTGAACTGTGACTGACTTCCATGTTTTTTTTTTGGGGGGGGACTTTGACATTTCTCATTTTAGACAACTACTTCAATGTATATAAATAATTACGAAAATAATTTCGTCAGCATTTTGGGGCTTCGTCAAATAATACATTGCATTTCAAGTACAATATTTGAACATTACATCATGTACCTAAAGCGATTTTTTTGGTAAAATCTTATTTTGTCTTTCTATAACCTAAAAACACTTGATTTCTCTGCCTGTCGAAGTCATTCAGTTTACTGTATAATTGCTCTTTGTTGCCCCTTTATTGGTTCCCCCCCCTCCCCACGTGCTGATTGGCTGCCAATCTGAATGCAGACAGGAAGTGCCCCCCGTGACTCCACCCTCTCCTCCATAGGAGGCCGTGTCCGTGGTGGTTGGCCATTGTCCCGGCTCACAAAAGAGTCTGCTCCACTTCAAACGCGGTAATGAAAGCTAATGACTATTAGATGGAGTACGCCACATAAAATATGCTAAGCGCCATTTTGACGACTCATGAGAACTTTCACACCTTCTCGCCTCCACACGTGGCGTACATCTTGATGGGTGACCTCCATCTTATTGGACCCTGCATCTTGTTCTTCTACTACTGGAGAGTCTCAAAGTGGTATGAGGGCTCCCTCCAGTGATGCCTTAAAAAAAGTGACAATTTAAATTTCTGATTAGTTGTCGATGAATCGCTGCACCTCTAATACGTGTGTTAGCTTTTTCTGTGGCGTTTAGTCCTTGCTTGGCACTGACAATCTTGAACAATGCAGACGATCTTAAAAGATGTCACCGTGTTAGCGTCCCCCCCCCATGAGAGCTCAGATCAGTGAGCACGGCAAAGGATACTCTCATTTATCTTGAGGGCTTTTTTTGCATCGCGGACAGTGTCACGGTGACAGCTGTCATTCGTCTCGGAAGAAGAATTTGACCGTTCTCAGGTCACGCGAGCTCATCTTCTTTGTTATTTTTCTGTTGATCACGACCATAACTCAGTCAACCCAACTGATTTTAAAGACTCCATTTTGAAGACTCGTGACACAAGTCAAGCAAGCAACAGCGAGCAGGTCTCAATTTGAAGGAGCCCACGCAGCGGCGGCCCCCGGCGTTGCTCCCCAGCCGTTAAGAAGGCCTTTGCTAATTGAGAGCACGACACCCACCGACCCCCCCGACCCGCTTCCCCAAATCCTCTTCATCCCCTTCAGTTTTTCCCAGGCCTCCGGCCGCCCCTCGTTCTCCCTCAATGGGATTACACTGGACGCAGAGATAGCGGGCGTCATCTCATCGCGCTGCTTCGCGAGGGGGGTGTGGGGGGGGGGGGTTAACGCGTCAATCAGATCAGACTCTCCGCAGAGATCTGCTTCACCACTTTTCATTCAACTCCGATTCTGTTACTCATCTCTGCTTCCATCCTTTTCTTCAATGAGAGCATTGGTTGGCAAATTGACAATGGTGGACACTGGGGAAAAAAACACAACTTGTATTTTTTTTTTTTTTTATGGGGCGAGGGAGTAGTAAAACAATATTTTTAGTCGGAACAACTTTAAAATATAAAATATTGACATTTATAGCAACAGTATTAGTTAGCACAAAAAAATGCATTTTGTTTGCTCCCAAACTATTTTCAGAGTCGATTTTTTTCCTATCTTTAGGTTTGGGAACAATACAAGGAGGGATTAGTTGTGTAAATTCATTCCTTTGCCGTGGAATGCGGGAAAGCCAATTTTCCTTCAAACCTAAAAATATTTTTGTTGAATTGGCCAACTTAAAACTTTTTCAGAGTCTGTTGCCTTGAAATTTTTGTGTTCACCCAACTTTTTTTTTTCTTCTTCTTCACAGTGATATATGAAATGTGAGTTTGTTCATTAGCGATTGATTGGTTGGTTGATTAGTCCTACAGCGGTGACTACATTTTTCCAAAGCAGGTCGTGTCAAATGATATCATCCGGTATAATAAGTTAAGTATCATAAAGAAAAATGTGGTGTATCTAGTACGGTTCCCTGCGTGCCCCCATTGTGGTGTGATGCGGTCAAAGTGTTTGTAGTCTTGTTTGCCTAAGCTGAGAACCCCAAGCAATCCCTCTTGATCCCCGAGGTGAGTGTTTCTTCTTTTTCACCTCTTAAGAGCTCTTCGGTGAAGATTAGTGACATGGAAACCTTGCCAGCATGTCGCCTTTGTGCTCCGTCGTCTGTGCTCCAGCGTCGCCAATTAGCCGCTCTGATGCACTCCGTCCTCGCGACGTCTTATCCCGGCACATGCGGCTGATGTGTCTCTGGTCGCCCGCAGGAGGCCCGAAACCAGTTCGCCGTTTACATCCGCCCCACTTCACTTTATTAGCTACACCTGTGCCGCATGCCGGAGAGCATTTGACTGCTTGGAGACAATTGAAGGAGCTCCTGAGAGATGACTTTTCACTTGTTTGGTCACCCAAATGCCATTTACGCCTTTTTGGTCATTTACTATGTGATTACTTTTGTGTTAGCCTCTTCTACATGCTCCTTGTGAGTGTTTTCATTTCAATTTGTCCCATTCAAAGACAACGGCTTAAAGTGCATTTGTGACCCTGGACTGCCCTTTTTTATTTTTCACTTCCCTCGAGTGGCGGCGTATTTGAAGCTTACTTGAAAGGACCCCAGTTGTACTGTTTCATCTCTTGTCATGTACCATGTTAGCTTTGTTTACTGCGTCTCCTTTGCGGTTGTATGTTAGCATCCTGTACTACATATATTTCCTTTTTCGTCTTAGCTATAAATGGCAACACAGGGTAAAATCTGTATTGCGCAAGCTTTTATAGGTCAAGCAAAATACTTCAACCCCCCACCCCTCAAAAAAAAAGGATTACCAGAGGATAACTGTAAACACAACAATTGTACAATCGGCTCTAAAAACGTCTTTCTAGCTGTAATGTGGTGTTGCCAAATCAAATCAAGAAGCCAGACAGAGCAGTGCAATTCTTTCCATAAAATATATTTCTGAATGTCATTCAAATATACAAAAAAAAAAAAACAATAGTCAAAGAGCAATGCATGTACAAAAATTAAATATATAACTATACTTCTATTAAATATTAATAGGCCATCATCTATTCATGGTAGGAATGTACAAGAGTGTTGAGTCTTTCCGTGGGGGATATTTTTTGTTTGTTTTTGTGTTTTTTCCGGGGTTTCTCAACAGGGTTCCGGGCCATCGTCGGACACGTCCACATCCACGTCCGAGTCGGAGAATTCGTCCTCCTCTTGGTCTTCGTCAGCGTGGCCCTGAGATCCGGGGCTTTTGGGCGGGGTGGCGGCGGCGGCCAGGCCCAGCTTGGCCAACTTGGCCTGCTGCTGCTCCAGACTCTGCTTGCGCCACTTGATGCGGCGGTTCTGGAACCACACTTTCACCTGGAAGACACCACAAGGCCGACGGATGCGCATGAGACCTCCTCCAGTCACATTTGGAGCCTCTTCGTCTTCTCAATAGTGCGCCAAAGCTCGATTATTTTATTTATTTTTTTTTTTTTAATGTAAATTTTGGATGCTTTACAACTGGTCATGTACAGACATTTTTTTCACTTAATTTCAAAGATGCGTAATATCAAAGGCAACATTAGAATGTTTTTTTTTTTTTTTACGTGTCGTGAAAAATTCTCGTGTTTTGCAGAATGCATTGAAGTGAATTTTTTCACTATTTTATGAAGTTTCCCCGCTTGATATCAAAGACACGTGGTACCAAAGACACTGTTGAAGCGCTTCCTCTTAAGACGCACAATAACAATCATTTTGAATCATTAAAATTGCTGTTTAGCACACTGGAAGTCACTTTATGAATTTGTACGCTTTATGTCAACGACACGTAATATCAAAGACACAATTGAAGCATTTCATTTTTTAATGTGTGCAAAAGACACCGTTACAGTTTTCCTTTGGAAGGTATAAAACTAGTTCTCAATTTTCCAGCAGGAATTTCAACGCATTCAATTGATTTAATCAGAAATGGATCAGGCCAAGACTCACTGTCTGAAAGTGACTCGATTGGACTTTCCCCCTCCGAATGGCGACCTAACTTCCGCTTTCACCGAATATCAACTGAACCTCATTGACACGCCATCGTTTCATAAAGCTACTTTTTGTCTTGTGAAATCACCTTTTTTTTACTACAGTTGTAAAAAAAAAAAAAATCGTATTTATTGTTGAACAACAGAAATCGCGACGCTTGAAACTGCAATGACTACTTGCCGGAAGTGACTTTTTTTCTCACCCATTAAACTCTCGCCCTCCACCAAACACGGAGTCTCTTATTAATTTCCCACTTTTTTTTTTTTTTTTTTTTTTGCGCGTGTTGTAAAGATGCTGACCTGTGCTTCGGTGAGCTGCAGGGCGGAGGCGAGCAGGAACCTCTCGGAGCCGACCATGTACTGCTGCCGGGCGAACTCCTTCTCCAGGCGGGAGAGCTGCTCGCTGGTGAAGCTGGTGCGCATGCGCTTGGACTTGCCACCCTTGACTTTCAAGGCGTGCACCTTGGGCATCGACGCCGCTGCGAGGCAGTCGAGCGAAAAGTCAGCCGCGGTAAGAGGACCCCCCTCCGAAAGTTCGGGCGACAAATACCTTGCGCGTAAAAGGCTCCGCGACACGACGCCTGGTAGGTGAACGGCGGACAGCAGTAGACGGCGGAGTAGCCGGCCGGCAGCACGTTGTACGGGCAGGTCGCGTAGGTCACCCCGGCGGCGCCGCCCAGGGGCAGCGCGGCCGGGTAGGCGAACGCCCGCTCCGAGTTGCGCCCGTCCGGCTTGGCGAGCAGCGCGTCGATGGTGAACGATTTGGAAAAGGGTGGCTGCGCAGTCGGGTGATTGCGCAGCGAGTATGCCCCCAAAGCTGGCGTGGATGTGCTGCTCGGTATCTGCATCCTTGCCGCGAGAAAGAAGGTGCGAGGCGAACGGTGGCTCCTGAACGCCTCCTTCTTTTATACCCGGCCGAACGCGGAGGTGTCAACGGCCCCCCGCCTCCGCCCCCGGCCGGGCTTTTGTCTCCGCAAGCAGAAGATGAGAGGAGGCCGCATGCCGACAACGTATCCAATTAATTGGTGGACTAGTACAAGCTGGGATTGTCAAACATCCTCACTCTTTGAGGGAGGAGGGGAGAGGGGGGGGCTTGCTTTTGAAGACGAGGAGGTTGGGGGTCGTTGACTCCCAGCCAGAATTAGTCGGCCTACAAATTCCTGCGTGGATCTTGAGTCCAAATGTAATCACAACTGCTGGGAAAGCCTTGATGTTGCCAAATGATCTTATTCGAGGCAAATCATCTTCTTGAGGCCGCGCTGGGCGGCTCCAGCCCGGCGTGACCGAGCGAGGAGCTTCCAAGAGCTACACTTTTTTTTTTCCCATTTACTTTTCTTTTTCTCATTCCACCCTTAAGCCGTTTAATGAATCGCCGACGGAGCTATGAACTGATGCACAAACACTCCATTACGGCCTTTCCTGAGAACAATGGCGGGGGGGCAAAGGCAAAAGTGTGACGTTTTGCAGTCGGGGTGTCGCTCCTCGCAACGGGCCGCCTAATGGAGGCGTCAAATTTGCCAACTGATGTTTTTCTGTTGTTGTTGTTTTTTTGTTTTCAGTTTTTTTCCCCTCCTCCCCTGCATAATCTGTCAAGTCTGCGACCCCAATGCACGGTGTTGTCTTTAACAGGGCATACGAAAGATAGCTGGTATTTGTTGCTGGCGAATTTGTATGTAGGGGTGAAGGGGGGGGGCACATTTTGCATGACACGGAGAACATCCTGAGTGCGAAAGTCATTAGAGGAGGAAAATTACAGCCCGACACCTCCTCCCTCTCTGCTATTGAAAAAAAGAAGTCGCACGTACTCTTACTGGCTTAACATCAATGCATTTCTTTTTTTCTTTTTTTTTTTGAAAAAGTTGATGACACGTGCTTTCCGTTTTATTCCAATTGTCAGTCCGAGTCCATAAAATACTTTTATGTTGTTGGTCGCCGAACCAAAAAAACCAAAAAAATCATGTTATTTTCTTCATATGGGTCGTTTAGGTTCAGCAACAGGTGGATTTATTTTCCCTGAAACATCATCACTCTCAATTACAGGGCATGGCATTGCGCAAGCTTTTACAGGTCAAACGTAAAAACAACCCCCCAAAAAAGAGAAAATAAAAATGTCTGAAACTCAAGACATCTTTTAATTCAGCGTAAAAAAAAAAAGCTTGGGGCACACAGTCGCTTTTTCCTGAGGGGGGGGGGGCGCTTTTCTCCATTTTTTTCTGTTTGTGTCCCGATATGTACTCCCTCATTCGCGTTTTTTTTCAACCTTACTCGTGTGTCTTTAATCGGCTAAAAAAAATGAAATGGCAATTCTAAAAAGTCTCAGTTTATTCGCGGATTTTCCAGCCCGCTTGTAGTTTTACAATGTCTTGTAAAGCTAAATGTATGCAGCTCCGCAAATTAGCATCTAAATTAAAAACAACGTGTTTCCATTTTGTTGCAGCGTTGCACTCGAGGCAAAGTAGTGCGCTGTTCCTTCTCAACTCAAGTATTTCCTCGAGTTTGTCTTAATTCACCCAAATCTTTCTCTTTGATCACGCGGACTTTCACTCCTCTTTGGGGTTCCACCCGTCCCTCATTCATGCACGGCGGTCTTTGGGTTTTGTGGTGCTGATTGCACTCTTGAGCGGCGTCTTTTGTGCCGGCGTGTTTGCAGTGCGGGGCCATCGCGCTTCCAATTGCGCCTTGTGATCTCTTCTTGGCTTTGCTTTGCTTCGCTTCCCGACGTTTCTGCGGGCGTGGCGATGGGAGGCGTGGCGAGGCGGCTTCGCCCTTTTAACTGCCGCTCTACAAACATGGCGGCTCTTCTTTGGACTGGTGCGCAATGTGCGCATGCGCTCTCAGCGGGCTGGCTGACACTGACGTCTCATCAAGCAGGTAAACACGTGTAAGTTGAGGGGTTCGTTGTTTTTAGTGGATAGCTCTACTTTACGAACGGTAAAAGGAGAGATAGAATCCTTTAAATGCAGTTTTACTAAAAGGGTAAAAAAAGACGTCGGCACCGCAGCACGTTCGAGAACACAACGGTAACGAAAACACTTCCTGCTTCTCTTCAGCCAATCAGACGCAAGCAACATAAGAATGTTTCAACAATTATTAAACAGAATATAATTTAGGTAACTATAACATGAAGGAGTATAATGCTCAAACATAAAATGATAATAATCAATAATATAACATAAGCTTACACCCGCTTTCTGTGTGGGGACCACCATGCAGCCAATTGCATCCCATTTTCTATTTTATTTAGACATAAATACAAATTTGTCTTCCGGACACCCACGCGCACACAGACGTCTGTCTACATTTTTGGAGTTCATGCCAAAAAAGCAGCTGTGGGCTTCGTGAAGGAAGGAGGTTGCGCGTTGTCGGGTGTGTATTGGAGCCAGACGACGAATCCACTCGCCCCATTCAAAGGCATGACTGTCGACTGAGCGAGTGAGGGCAGAATGACGTCCCCCTAATGGGCCATCGCGCACAAGAGAGCGTGAAAGTCATCAGCGGCGTTTCGGATGCGAGCGCGTGCACGGCAATGATGTGCACATATAGCCCTCGCGATCGTTTCGTGAGCAATTCAGAGGACATGATTGCATAATTGCTTACAATGAAAGAAAAAAAAATCCTATTGTTTGATACATTTTTAAGTACTTAAAAATTATAAAACATTATTGTTTTATATTTTGGTTTACTTCATTTGATGATGGTTTTCTTATTCGTTAATTTTTATTGTTATTGCTTTCAATAACTTAGTCAACATAATTTTAATAATGCTATAAGACGAGAATGTTTAGTTTTATTTACTTTATGTGTTAGTAATTTAATCTTATATTTACTTTGCTCATTTTGTTTTATATAATCTTTGTTATATTTACTGTATTATTTGACTTTTCATGAATTCCTTCATCATAACGTCATCATCATCATCATCATCATCATCATCACCATCGTCATTACATCTCTTCACTGATTGGCTGGTCAAGAATAAAATGACTAATGAGTCTCAGTGTCCGTAGTTGCAAGAAAAGGGTCTTTTTCTGAGAATATTTCTCTGTGCGCGGGTTCAACAATGCGAAAAACTGAATGCCTCACTCAGGAAGAGCAGTAACGCAGTTTCAACAGTATGAAATTAGAATTTGAATCCGCAGTCGCTTTAGCGGAACAAAAGCCAGGAGAAACACTGCGTCATCGTCATGATTGCTATGAGCCTGGCCGTGTTATCGCCAGGCTGACGTTTTTGACACGCACTCTGAGGGCCTCTCGCACACATTCACATGCAGCCACAGCTGGCAAAAGTACCTTCGTTGAAGTACTTTTGTGTGATTTTCAGTGCTATTAAATCCATCCAACTTTGGGAGATGTGTGCACTCACGGCCAACAATGAGGCGCTCTAAATCGGCCACGCCAGCAAGAAGCCCCTGTCCACATGCCAGTTGTCAAGTCGGACTTTTTGGGGGAAAAAAAATCAATTTCCCCCATTCTGGCCCTCTGTGTGACACTCACGGCTTACAACAAGGTGCTCTAAAGCAGCCACGCCAGCGGACTATCTCAAACCCACATTCTGGCTGTCAAATCAGATTTTTTTTGTTTGTTTGTTTACTTCTCCCCTATTTCTTCAAATTTTCTCTCCGTGATGTCCGTGCACTCACTGCGGACAACGAGGCACTCTAATGTGGCCTCAGTAAATATCTTCAATCAAGTCTTCTTTTTCTGAAACGGATCTCAGAATGTACTTTAGGAGTTCTTTTTAAAATGTATTTTATTTATTATTATTATTGTTTTTTTTTTTATTTGTGGACCGACATAAGTGACATGCCCGCATATGTGGATGATGACGTGACTACTCCACGTGGACTGTAAATGGCAGACCGGCCAGGTGCGTGTCGTCTGGCCCGCAATACACATTTCAACACGGACACAACATTAGGAACACCTTGATACTCGCAATACTAACATTTGATTTCTAAAATGATCATTCCAGACTTTCGAGTCATATTTGGACCATGCCAATATATTTGGAACAGCTGTGGATTTGGGTGCTGTTTAATTAATTTTTTTAAAGTGAAAACTCCCTCGGAAATGTCATTTTGTGTGAAATAGTCGTGCGTGAAGAACACCTCGACCTCGGTGCATGCCAATGCGCCCGTTGCGCGTCGGCTATGCTGATGTTGCGTGCTTTGGATTTGCACGTGTGGCCGCCATTAGCCATTAGCATTGACACCCGCCACTGTACGAGCCCCCCAAGGGGCCACTCGGAGGACCCTCAGGGCCCACCGGAGCGCGTTGGGCTCATTATACACTTAATGAGGGATTAAATTTCTCCAGAAATGTTCTGGGAACTTAACGTGTGTATTGTGGATGTCTGAAGACGCGTTTTTCATTGAGAACACGTCAGTTTAGTCCGTTTTCATTTTGCCCCGGAATCTATTTTCTTTTAGCATGTTAGTTTCATCTACAGCTGAGGTGACTTTTCGTCTTTTCCCCATCAGGGGTTGCCAGTCACTTGCGTGATTTGTTTGGCACCGTTTTGCCGTATCAATGTTAATTTCACTTTTGCGTCATCCACGGCAGTATACGATATTTTCAGTTTTGCGCCGTGGCTCTATCTACGGCGCCCGATTTTCCTTTAGCGTGTCAGGCTCATCTAATCTCGCCATTTTTATCTCACAATGAAATCTATTTTGATTTATCAGCTTTGCGTTCTCTATGTGTATCTGTTTTCCTATGGCTAGTTTGCTAAGCTCACGTATATCAATGAGAATAGCGCATGTTAGCTTCATCAACTCTTTGGCTACTCACTTAGCATGCTAGCTTTATCTCCTGGACACACGAGATTCATCGACTGTGTCAGCTTTCATTCAGCACTTGAACGTCGTCTATCTGTATCTATTAGCGTCATTGACTGCATTGATTTTGAAAAGATG